ATATCAAGTAGAATGTACGTGAGACATATCTTTGTGTTTTTTGTTTTCAAAACCAGCCACTCAGATTTGCAATCTTTGATGAAAAATGGGTATCCTTTCAATAAATCATTGTGTTTTCCTTTAACACTTGTCTAAGTTGAGCTCAGGCCACTCACGTCGGTGTATGACATATGTGTACGTTGTAGATGGAGATAAATGTGTCCGTATGTATAATTACATTAGTATGCACACACACACATATGTATATCCATAAATTCCTGGGGTGGAAGGTGTGGGCTGCTCTGCTGGGTCCTGGAGAAGTAGAGACTGTTTCTTAAAAGTTCATCATTGACAGGCCTGAGAAAGGGCTCAGTGAGCGGCAGAAGCTGGCATTTGGTGCACACCACCACTCAAACTCTGCATTCACGAAGCTGCGCGTGAGCATGTTATCCTCTTTCTGATGGGTCCAGGCACTCATCCTATGGCCTGCCATTGACCTTGGCCCTAAATTAATTAAGAAGTAATAAAAGGGAGGGAGAAGGAGGAGTAGTTAAGATGTATAATGAAGATTAAATTCAGTGCAATCATTGTAAGTTGACCATCTTTACAGTGAGTGAAAAAGGACAGGAGATTAGAGCCTTTAAGGTTGGCCCAAGCTTATCGGCAAAGGGCAGTTTGTTGCTGACGTTGAGCTTTACATTGAGGGAGGACAAATGAAGAGGGGTACTTGTCACACTTGCACATTCAGGGCTTGAAATGTGTCTCCTTTGTGAGGCAGACTTGGCTTGCTCCTCCTGCTGGCTTCTCCCCATGCTGAGCAGCTAATCCACGTGGCCACTCCATCATCAGTCTCTTCTTCACTCAACAGACCTTTCCTAGGAGTGGCCACAAGATGACAGGCAAGATCAGGCTTGTGGTGCTACATGGTGTCAAGTTTAAGAGTTTGCACTGTGAAGCAAAAGCCCTTGGATTTGAATTACAGCTTTACCACTTACTATGTTTTCTTACTTAACTTTCTGAGCCTCTGTCTCCACAACTGGAAAGCACAGATAACACCATTATGCACCTCATAGGTCTGTTGTGAGGATTAAGGGAGAAAATCTGCATATCGGTGGCCAGCACGGTGCCCGGCATACTTGTCTGAGAAGCAGAAGGCTGGCGACTGTGCCAGGTGTCCTTCACAAAGAAAGAGTGGTGAGAGGAGAGACGTGGGCCAAATCCTACAGGGCCTGCTGCGTAGCCAAAATGAAGATTTTTTAAACCAATGTTTAAATGTTTTTCAGTAGTTTTCAGCAGAGCACTGACAACATTGTTTACAAGAAAGTAATGGCTGTACTAAAAAAAATGCATATTGGAGAAGTTGTGCAAGACAATCTTCGCACTTGAATTCCATTCAGTCCTGGTTGGGCTCTGAGTTACCCTCAATTCCCTGATTCAGAGTCCTGCTGGAACCCTCCAGCCTTCTCTAATGTTGATGATGGAAGACATGCTAACGACCAGTGTACCTAGGACGTGCTTACTCTTGCCAGGCTCACAAGTACCTTCCAAGGAGATGTTTTACCTATGCATTAGGCACTGAGGCTGCAAATCTCACAGCTCAGAAAGTTAGAAAGCACTGGTATCCAGAGGGAACCTGTGATGGACGCATAGCTGTGAAGCAGGAAAAGCAGTGTGCTAGCTCTGCCTCTCATGCCCTCCCTTTTCATACACGAGGATTGGGAATCGTACGACCCACTCCCCAGAGTGGCTGTGTAGTATTCATCCATGGCAGCAAAGCACCGGACTCCATAAATGTTTGCTGCTGCAGGGCTGGGTTGCCAGAGCACACTCGAGGTCACCCGCATGGAATCAGTACAATGTTTGTTTCCTTACAAGTCTGCTTTTAACCACTAAGAAGCTCACTGTGGGCTCACAGGTATTGTGTAAGCAGGAAGACAACCCAGCTCCATTTCCCCTGCTAAGGACAGTTTGTCTCATGTGTGCATCTCTTTCCTCTGCCCTCTGCAGAGGTGGGGCGGGGAAGCTCTGTGTGCCCGAATTCATAGACCTAAACCCCATTGCCTCCTACACGGGTTTTCTCCAAATTATGCTTTTTAATTAAGCCTTCTAAGGTTTAATTAGGAAGCAACATGAGTCATCTTTGTTTCTGAAAATATAGTTGTGGTTTGACTAATTCTGTAGTAAGATTTCATATGATTTATTTTCTCATGTGTGAAATTAACACGTGGAATATTTTAAATAAGAAATCAAAGCACTTACCTGGGCATCAGGTTGGGAGCACGTAAAAAGTTTAAAGGAGGTTCACTTAAAGTAATGCTGGGAAAGCTGAGCTGATTTGAAAAAGGTCCCTTTACATGAGATGCCTCAAAGAGATACATGCTTTTTGAATGAATCATGCAGCCTTTGATGTCAACCCACTGCTTAGAGATGAGCATATTGATGAGGAACACAGATTTTTAACTCCAGCTCTTACTGGACCGTCTGCATCTTTCTCCCTGGCTACCTCTTACCCTGTCTTTTTCTGAGACCCTTCATGCCTCAGTGGCTCTGTACTTAGATTGATCTTCCTTGCAGGGCCCAGCCCTACCTCTTCTGAATAAATTCCCTGCATCTGCACCAATGATGCCTTTATTTTCTGGACCCTGGTGCTCTAACATTACAGAGTGTGGCTGACACTGGAGGAGCTGTCCTCACAGGGTCAGTGAACTCCTAGAGAGGGCAGATGGCTGCCTGCCTGCAAGTACCTTTTCCATATCTGCTAGGGTCCTGATAGCTAAGTACCTCCATTACCGAGAGATCAGGTAATAGTCAAGAGGGACGAAGCTCCTATACCCTATACACTGAAATTTTCCAACCACCAGTCCCAGTCCTGCACATCACACCCCATTTATTTCTTCCCGTATGATGAACACCCCACTGCAGGGCCACAGGGAAGGCTCTGGCTCATGTTCCCCTCTCACCCTCTGTGCCTCCTGAGCAGCCTTGGCATTTCCCCATGCCCCCCCCCCCGATGTGCCTCATGCCTCCTGTTTGAGGCAACTATAAGTACAAGCTTATTCCTCCATGAGAGACATTTCTGTTTCTGTTGCTGATTAAAACAAATCCCAGATGCCCTTGAAAAACATCTCTCAAAGTGCAGCTTAAAAGTCACTTTCTCTGGGACACTGACCCCATTCCTTTTGGAGGCTCTGCACAGACACATCTGCCTTCCTCTGCGGACTGAGTGCAGGTCCAAAGTCCCAGCTGCAAGCACAGTGCCTCACATACGTGTGTACTCCCTGAAAGGAGTAAGGAGGGGAACAGAACACAGCTTCTCAAGGTGAATCCAGTAGGACTGTTGAGTCCGAACCAGTTTCGTGAGCGCTCCCCTGATTGTCCTTGCTATGACCGGCCATTGCAGAAGGGTGCTGAGGCTGTGGTCTGACTAGGCCCGCCACCCCAACTCTGTGGCTCTGGATGAGGTGGTTTACCTGAAATGCTTTGGTTTTCTCATCTCTAAAACAGGGATAATAATGGTATTTGTGTCCAAGGACTGTAAGGATGCAAAGATGGCAAGATAAAGGCCTGCAGGTCTGAGCAGAGACTCTTTCTCCTCCTGTCATGCTCGTTCTGTCCTGCCCTCTCCCACTCCCCTTGCTTTCACAGTCAAGAGCCATTTCTTCAGGGAAACCTTTGGTGGCTTCTGCAACCCTGGAAAATTCCATAATTTGGACTTCTTTAACTCCGTTCACTTCTCCTGAGTAGTACTTGGATTATCTTCATTTTCCCTCAACAGTTAAGATTTTTACATAACAGGCGTCTTCCTCACTAGACTGTATGTTATCAAGGTTCTCCAGAGAAGCATAGCAGGATGAAAAACTAAAGATACACACAGTCCTGTACCTCAAAATGATGTTCTGGTCCACAATGGGCCGCAGATATCAGTGGCCCCATAAGATTATAATGGAGCTGAAAAATTTGTTCCCAGTGATGTTGTAGTCCTCCTAGCATAGTGCACTACTCATGTGTTTATAGGGATGCTGCTATAGACAAACCTGTACTGCCAGTCATATAAAAGTGTAGTGTGTACCGTTATATAGAGTACATCATAAAATACTTGATAATGACAAAAGCAACTTTGCTGTTGTCATATGCATTTGCTATACAACACTTTATATTATTTTAGAATGAACTTCTACTTATTTAAAAAAAGTTTACTATCAAACTCTGTGCCATATGCCTGCAGCAGACTCACATAGCATACTTACTGCATCATACCATTATAGCCTCGTATATTATATATGTGCCATATATGTACCACATAAACATACACCCTAGATGTGTAGTAGGTAATATCATCTAGGTTTGTCGAAGTGTACTCTATGATAATCATACAAAAACAAAATTGTCTAACAATGCATTGCTCAGACTGTATCCCCAAAACATGACTGTGTGTGTACACACAGACACCTATGTGTTCTTTGTATGAACATCTCTGTCTTTCCCTTTAAGCTCTTCAAGATCCCAGATTTGCTCTATATAAAGGAGTGTATGAAGTCCAAATTAGGGACATTTGCCCTATCTACCCATTTATTTCAGTTCACAAACTTAATCCTTTCTGTGATTCTGTTCTCTATTCGGTTGCAGCCAGAATCATAGAAAGGACTAAGTTTGTGAACCCATGTACCAAGGTACCACTGTACTGGGAAGAAATAAAAAGTAGGATGTTGAGCGCCAGGGAGCATCCTGCTCTAAGTGGGTAGTTGAGAAAGACCTTTCCAACTTCCAACCAGCTGGCATTTGAGCAGAAAAATGGAACCAAGAGTGAACAAAGTCTGTATTTTGGAAAACATGTTCCAAGCAGCAGCAGCAGCATAAAGGCCCTGAGGTGGGCATAGGCTTTGTGTGTTTGGGGAATAGCAAGGCCACTTACACAGCTGGAACAATGTGAGTGAAAGAATATTCAGAGAGGAGTGCTGAGAAGCAGGCTGGGGCCAGGGCCTGTAAAGCAGTCTGCATGGTTTGAAGGATGAAGCTTTTACCTGCCTGCATGGTGACCACCTGTGGGCCTTGAGCAGCGTAGTGAAATCGAGGCTGCTGAGAACCAAAGGGTGCTTGACAAAAAGCTGTATCCTCGAGACCTGCACCCTGGCAGTCTGCCAAAGAAAGGCTTCTCTTCTCATGCACTTGAGGTAGATTTTGCTGGTAAGGCTTGTATTCCAAGCATCACGTTGGTCCAGATGTGCCACCTTCATACAAGTTTGCCTTCTGTGAAGGGAAAAGAGCAAGGGGCAGGGAGGCAAATGAGGGCACCAATTAAAGAGGCTCTTGAAAACTCTAGGGAAGATACAATGGTGGTAGCAGTGGACATCTTGAGAAGTATTTGGACTCTGAATAGATACTGAAAGCAGAGGCCAAAGAATATCCTGACATATTGGTGACTTTTGGGACATGGCCTGAATGACTAGAAAGTGAGAATGCACTGAACAGAGAGAAGGAAGGCTGCAGGACAAGCACAGAAATCAAGAGTTCAGTTAAAATGCTAAGTTGGCTGTCATGAGAGCAAAATTAAATGGGCAATTAGACCTATCAGTCTAGAGTTTAGGGCAGAAGATGTGAGTGCAGGAGCCTTCTAGGTAGAGGCGGTAACCAGAGCACGGGTTAAGGTCACCTGCAAAGTGAATATTGATCAAAGCCAGGGAGTTGAAGAAGAACCAGTTCATAAACCTAAGGATTACTGCAAGAATTGAAAATGAAAGATATCCCAGAAGCCGAGGGTGTTAACCATCAAGAAGGGAGGAAGGGATGAACAGTTGTCAAATACAGCAGAGAGACCAACTAATTCAACCTAAACCAGACCACTGGGTTTACTCTCATGATGGAAATGGAGAGAGCAAACCTAATCAAATAATTAAAGGAGTTTGACACCAAAGAGGCAGAAATTAGGCAGTGTCTGGAGGGGTGTCTGGGACCACCAGATTAATGCAGAGAGCCTGTATCTGATAAGATGATGGAAGAGAGAAAGGAAAATGGAGGATACAGGAGAGAGGAGAGAACAGCACGATGATCCACTCAAGCAGCGAGAGGAGACCTGAGTCCATCCACGCAGAGTGAAGGGGGGCGCGGGGGACAAGGTATCCGGACAGCCTCTTCTGCTTGTCGTCTTTCCCTAGTGGAACAGGAGGCAAGGTTGTTAGCAGAGAGAAAGAAGACTGTCGCTATTGCTATTATTATTATTTCACTTTCTGTCATACTCGACTCCAGAAAAACAAGAATGAATGGTCTCAGAAAGAACTGCTGTTTATTAAAGGACTCTCCCATCTTTGGTAGTCAAGAGCTCACCGGATTTCATTCCTAGAGAGGGATCCCCTTAGAAAGGGAAGGTCATTAGGAGGGAGTTCCGTCCTTTACTCACATCTCTCAAAGAATGCCATGGGGAGCGAGTCTCCTGCTCCTGAGCATCACAGGGCGGCATCTCCATCTTTTCCTACCAGTTTCCCAGGGACACCTCTAATCCCAAATCCATTCTGCCAACCCTGAAAGCCACAGGGTGGTTAGTTCTTTGTCATACCACTCTGTCCATTTTTATTAAATCAAATCCACCTCTTCACTCAAGTTTGTCTCCCAATCCTAAACATCCTGGAAGGAAAAACATAGGAAAAAGTGAAAAAAACAGCAGCAGTAGACAAACTCTTGGAAGTAAGGAACGAGACAGAAAAGAATCCAAGCAGGCAAGGCCAAGTTTATGTGTGACAGACATGGGGAGGAGGGAAAGTTGTGAACACTCACACATTAATAATTTTTGTCTTGTCACAACTATAATCAAAGCCCTGATAACAGTGTTGTCATAAAATCTATACAGCCACAACTCTGGGCTTGGCTTCAGTCTGGTTCCTGGGCTCTGGGCTCAGAATTCACCACAATAAATTCTCCCATGACTCTTCAGACCCCCTTATCAAACTGTGTTTTATTATCTACTCCCAAGCTTAAAATGCAACATGTACTTTACACCAAATATAGCATCTCCAGAGAAGGTAGCTTAGAGGTCATCACATCCGATGCTTCACCCAATTCTGTCTTATTTTTATAACTTCCCTGATAACTCGCGCCTCAGACTTTATAAACATCTCAGCTCCAAGTCTCGCCACATCACCAAAAAGCTTGTTTCACTTATGTAATGTTTTAAATTATAGCAAACTGGAGTCTCTCCTTTCTAATCTTTGAGTCTCTGATTCTGGGGCCCTATAGAACAAACTATGATTATATCCTATTCTTTCTTGTTTTCTGTTTTTTGAGACAGGGTCTTGCTGTGTAGCACAGGCTGACCTCAAACTTGTGGCAATCCTCCTGCCTCAGCCTCCTGAGTGCTGAGATTACAGGTGTGCACCATCCTGCCTGGCTTCTGTCCCCTTTGGTGGGGAACCACCTATCTTCTTACTTCTGTCTTGCCTGCTAAATATTCAATCACCCTTTGAATCACAAATATGTCCACATCCAGTGTAAACACTTTTTTGATATTCTTTGCCTACTGATAAGTTTTTAAAAAGGATAATATATTAATTTAGAGTCACGTTCCAACTAGTTCTGTACCTAACGAGGGTTAGGAGCTCCTTGATTACCAGCACTATCAAATCTGACAGCAAGGAGAGCTGGGTGAAATTTTATGCTTACATTGTACATCTGTTAGATCTACTGGAAAGGATGAAAAGGGAGAGGCTTCGTGATTACCAAGGATTGAGAGGCAAAAGCAGAGAGATTCTCTCACATTCATCCCTTGCACTGAAGTCTCTACCCTGCCTTTGGGTTTGTCTCCCATCACTTGGTTATTGCAGTCCCAATCTCTGAACTAGGTGCTGGTTCAGACAGCTGTTTCGACAGTGAAAAAATAATTGGAAAGTGGCTAATAATATTCTAGTGGGAAAGCAGGTGAATCAATCCCATAAATATATGTAAAATGACAACAGGTACTGATACCATGAAGGGAAGATCCGGGGTGCTATGAAAGTATGCAGTAAGAAGAACCCGAGCTAAGGAAGCCTCTGCTGAGGAAGCAGTTAGTGTTTGATTTGGAGGCGAAGTTCTCTGGTAGGGAGCATCTTGTCTGAGCACAATCTGTTGTGGAGAAGCCAGGCACGTGTGAGGAGAACAATATGGAATATCAAGGTCAACATGAAATGTGGGAGGTGGTGGGTGAGGTTCCAATCTTCTGCAATGAGCCTAAGGGCAGTGAGAATCCACCGAAGAGGTTTTGAGCCAAATGTGTGTTACCCACACAGTATAATGAAAATTATATTTAGAAGAGATCACTCCTGCTGCAATGTAGAAAATGAATGGGAAGGAACCATGGTGAGGACAGAGTAGGGTGAATAGCAGTAGCTGTGGAAACACGGTGACAGCTTTGAAAGAGTTGTCAGAGGTAAAACCAATGAGTATCTTGATGATTTGGCTCCAGGAGGCAAAGGAAAGCATGACGATGATAAGAATCTCTGGCCAGGCCTGCTCTGCCCACCTGTCAGTCATTCAACATGGAAGATCATCTATTGCTCATGGCCAGGCACTGGGCGTTATTCCCGAGTTGGAGTGATATTAATGTAGGATGAATATTATGTGATTCCTGGACAGTGGAGCAATATAAAACTGGCGTAGGAAAATATCATGACTAATGTTATTCCTGGTGATGTGGCTTTCTTAAGGTCCTTTGTTGCTGTTGTTTATAAACATATATTTATTGGACCGAGGATTAAGCTCAGTGGTTCCACTGCCTGCCTTGCAAGCGCAAGGTCCTGAGTTTGATCCCCTATACCAAAAAAACTGAAAAACAAACAAAAACATTATATTTATTGTGCTTACCTTGCAGAATGATGCAATTAGGAGGTGTAATTGTTAAGCTGTCATTTAGTTCTTTATGCAAACTATTCAGGTCCTCACCGTGAACAGACAGAATCTCCAAGCCATCCAACTGAGCACCTTTGTGATGATGGAAAATCTTGGAAAATATCCCTCCTTAAATATATCTCAGCTTGGGATCTAGTGCTTTGCTGAGACTGTGTCCTTTGTGATTATCACTGTACAATGTAACTTTTCTAAGACTTATATGCCAGAGCGTACCTTTACTCAGCCTTTTACATAATACCCTGGAGGACGCTGCTGTCTGGGGAATGAATCCTAGGTGGTGATCAAGGCTAGCAGGGTCACTCACTGCAAGCGGAAATATGACAGGATGGCCAGGCTGGGGAACATGGTGAGTTACAATGTCCAAGATGAAGCACAATGATGAGATATCAGTAAAAAACATGAGTGCGGAAGTTTAGGTTGTCTATCGTGGCAATTCTAAGAATTACTGAGACTATCTCATGGAGCATGGAGCTTCTTCAAGAAGCATTGTGTACTAGAAGAGCTGTCATAGGGAACTATTTCATCTGAGTAAGCTGGGCTGGAGCCTTGCTTCTCTGAGATTCTGATTCCTTAACAGATGGTCTTCAAGTCATTTGCATGTCTTATTAAAGCTGTTTTAATATTGGATCACTTTGTTATAAAGTCCAAAGTTAGCGAGGCCCAATGAGTTCATAAATAGGAATTCATCATCATCTGCAAGAAGACAGATAATCCATTTCTCTGTAGATGAGTGTTCCCTGCTTCCATTATTGGTGAAACAAAATGATATCCTACTCCTGCCCAGAGTTGTCAACAGCAGTTCACCAGTCTGTCTTTCTTTCCCCAGAGAAAGAATCCTATTGGCCCATCTCCAAGCATCTTTTTTTTCCAAGGAGTCTTCCTATGGCTCACTGCCCATTCATCAGGGGAACAGAATTTCTGAGAAAAGGCACATGCAAATTGTCTAAGATGTCTGCAATACCATTTAATTAATGGACTTCCAGTCTTTGAAGAAGAAAAAGATTTCTGCTTTATAATCAACAGCTCTTAATTATCTTGATGGTTAATTTGTACATCCATATTTCTCCTTAGTTAATTATTAATTGTATGCTTTCTGTCAATTGTATTTTGTGTCTGTCACTTTCACTACTGGATGTTGAGATTTCTCATCTCAATTTCTAGTCAACTCTCAATAATTTTACTCTTCCCAGTTGCAATTATGTCACTGTTTGATCTTGTTTTGTGTCTAAGTAGTTATAGTTATCTGATCTATCTTGAGGATGGCTAATACTTAAAAATTCTGAAACCTCTAAAATATTTTAGACATATTTGCATGCTTGCTTCTTTTCAGAGGCCTTGGGTATCATGAGAATTATAAGTGTAGTGAGCCTCAGACCCTATTACTACTGCCCACTAACATAGACATCTCTCCCAGGAATATGAGACACCTTCAAGCATCAGAAACCAAGCCTCTTAGCTCCCCCGATGCCTTGTCCTTTGTTGTCAGGTTTAATAAATGGAAGCACAGAGACATAAATCCGGGTGCTATCTCCATCTGCAACAGCCCTGTAACCTGTATGCCTCCTTGTCTTAGCTATCACCTGCTGCAACATTTCTGTCTTGAGGTCACATGGTCTCTCTAGGAACAGCCCTACAATTTCCCTGGTTAATGCCCTTCAGAGTGAAGGTCCCATAATCTCCTTGGGTAGCAGAGTCTTGAGGGCCCATTCTCATTTCAGCTGTCTCCTCCTCATCTCCTGTTACTTTCTCCTTGGAGAATGTTGCTAAGATTCCCATTTCATTTGTAATTTTCTTAAATGCTTGTATAGTTCAGTTGTCACTTTATAGGTTTGTCTTCCTTTGGAAAGGCAGCATAATGAACACTCATTTAGAGCCAGAATGCTTGGGTTCAAATCTAAATTCTGCATCTAACTGGCTGTGTAAATAGGGGAAGGTTAATTAACTTCTCTGAGTCTCAGTTTCCTCGGATGTAAAAATAGCAATATAATAGACTCTATTAAGCAATACATTATATTCGCCCATATGTAACCCATTCAAGCATACAACCAGGCCTCAGGAAATGTCTATAGAATACAATCTGTGGAGTCTCATATGGGGCTGAATCCTGCCTCTCTGCTGTTTACCCATGCGTTCCACAAAATATAGCTCTTTTTTTCCTCAGTTTTTTCACATATTAAATAGGAATGAGAATATTAATATGTCATGTACTAAATAAGAGTCTATGATATTACTCATCACTGAGGTAAATAAGGAAGACGACGAATGCATTGCATTTCCCATGATAAATCACCTTCTGCCCTTCATAGGAGTTTCCTTTGCAGGTAAAGTACAATTTGAGAAGATAAGATTAGGTAAGGGTTCTCTTTATCCTATGAACATTAGATTGTAAGCTCTACAAACAGTAAAATAGCTGATATTTTTCAATCGGCATCGAAGTGTGCCCAGCTCTTCTTAGTATAGTAGCCGCATTGCCTGCAGATTCAGTTACCTGTGGTTAAGTAAGGTCCAAAAATATCACTATAGTTCAATGACAGATTAAAGTATTTTGAGAAAAAGAGACCACATTCACTTACTGCTTATTATAATACATGGTTATAATTGATATATTTTATCATAAATTCATCTCTTACAAGGATGTAAAGGGCAAAACATTTTATACCTATCTGTCTGTATATATCGTTCTCTACGGTGGCATGGGAGGTATCTGGGTAAAGAGGGGTGACAGCTATTTTGTACATTCAGTAGCTTGTTTATCCTCCCAAGAAAACATAATCAGAAACAAAAAAATAAATGGCTTCGTCACAAATCCCACCCTGTTCTGAAATCCCTGGGAGCACAAAATGGGGAAGGAAGTGGTCTCAGCACAGTGGTCCATAGATTTTCTTCTCTGCTTAGAAACTGGGCTCCTTATACTCATGGTACCTTGTTCCCATCACCCCTTCCAATTCCTTAGTAACAGAAGAACTCTGCTCAGGAAATGTTACTGTGAGAGGCAGAGCCACTACACAGGACTGGCACTGGTGGAAGTTTGGTTCTCCATCACTATCCCCCAAATAATGCTTTCTTAAGTAGTGGTGGACATTTTCCTAAAATTCTAACTCCTCCCTTAGCCAATAGGTAGCTCAACAGCTGCTTAAGAGCATTATTTTTTCCACTTCATTGTACATAACAGCCTTTGTGACTTCTGCCTCCATTATCCCAGGATTTATCCACATTAATAAATATTCTCCAAAATCAGTGGGGTTGCAAAAACATTCCCTTTATAATAGATTTGCACCATAACTGTTGGAAATTATCTCATGATTAATGTTGTCTAACCCAGAGGACTCCATTGCAGTGAGGTTGAGGATTTATCGATAAATGTGATAATCATCCTCTATCTTTGTTTACATCAGTAATTAATGCAGTTCAGGAGGGAGCCCTCGAAACCTTGTATAAGCAAGATTTATCCCCACTGGAATAGATTACAACCATATGTCACCATTCTAAATGTAATTGGTACATTTCATTAGAAAGTAATTGGAAAAAAGATTTATTTTAATGCCCTGTGATAAATAATCTTGATAAACATTATTATTAGCAAAGATATCTGTACTGTGTAAGGAATTTGTCTTACAACAAAATACAGTATATACCATCTACCGTTCTCGGATTTCCCTGAGAAGTTTTACTTACCTTGTGACTTGGAGTAAAGAAGAGTGTATTGTTACACTATGAGGTTTCCTTTGAGAATAAGGCCTCCTCCTGCAGACATGAGCCTTTATCATCACCATGGCTCATTCTGATTATAAGGCCTGGCTTATTCTATATTGTATGAGCAGAAATGTTTTTAATAGAGGATTAGAACACAGGTCTTGGAGACGATGAATGTGGGCTGTGAGGTGTTTCACCTTGGCTGGATGGAAATATGATGGAGAGGGCGTATCTCCTAGGGTTGGAGTAAGGATGAAATGGACTAATGCACACGAAGGTTGTAAGTCAAGTCTTAGACTACAGGAAGCTCTCAGTGAATGTTAATCAGTAGTACCATCATCATCATCATTTCTATTCATATCTTGCTGACCTGATCATTCAGGAGAGACATTTTAAATTCTATAGTGAGCTTTAAAAAATCATATAATAAAAGTAAGGGTTGCATTGCAAGCATCTAGCCCTCCATTTCCATTTACAAGTTAATGAAAACAGTGAAATGTGCAATATTCTCAACACCAGCTGCAAGTAGGACTTCTAACATCCCCTACTTCTCCCCGTCTCCCTAAAAGGCCCAGAGGTAAATTTCCAAGGTGTTGTAACTTTATGAGCTATAAATTGAAGTCATTCCTCTTGGTTCCTCCAACAATGGGGACCAACAATAGAAATACTAAAGGGCTATCCACAGTTTGAACCAATTGAAATATCAAAACAGTGGCGAGAAAGGAGTGAGTTAAATAATTTTCATGGTGCATCCCTTACAATCAGTCCATGCCTGAGAGCTTTCTTCACCTTCTTTCACAATTCCTCCATGGTAGAATAGTCCAGATCAATGCTAAGCACTCAACAAATAAATATACTTTATAGAACAGAGAGTCCTCATTATCTTTGTTTTACAGATAAGCAAGTGGAGGTTCAGAGAAGGCTGTCACTGTTCCAAAATCATCTACTGAGTAGTATGTCAGACCCACCCTCCGGACTGTGTTTTCTTACTCTGCTTTATTGCGGTTTTGTTCTTCTCGAAATAAGGGAGAGGACATATCTTCCTGGAGAATATTTTGCCCAAAGATTTAAAATAATTTAACAAAAAGTCAATCATTATTTTCCATTAAATAGAAATGTTTTAAATGGTAGTGCACCGTGTTGGTGTAATTTTTTATGCTTAACACAACAGACTTCAAAGGAACACTGGCCTTTTAGTGTACCCCAGACACCCCACAGAAATGTATTAGTTCTCGTTATAGTTGATAATTTTAAGAGGTAAAGTTTTAGGAAGCTACGGAGAAGCTAGGCGGTGCTGCTTACGTGAGCCCCTCTCTGAGTCTGTGATTAGGTGGCCTTGGGCAAGTCACTCTCCCTTATTAAGCTTCATCTCTTCAGTAGGGATTCGGCCACTGCTGGGTAGGATGCCGTGGGACTTCCTGTACCATGTGAAAGTCTGAAACCATAGCTGACCCTCAGTTCATAATGGCTATTATTATGAGGCATTCATGAACTACTTTCAAAATATGCCTCTTATTAATTCAACAACCAATTTTCACATAATCCTTCAGGTAATAATCATACTGAGCCCAAGACCAGAACTGTCAGCCTCTCTCCAAATAATTTTCAAGCTTCCCATGATATCATTTTCACTCACAAAGCATCCTGAAATGGGTAATACAAGCATGCAAAGTGTGAAGGCTGCTTGCTAATCAATAGATTTATTTCATGGCTGGAACAAAAATAAAAGTTTTCAATTAATATCCAATAGAGAATCATTTACTCTCATTTTAAATGAATACCAAACTGTCTTTGAGCCCAATTATGTACTCCCTAAATTTTATTTGATTGACTTTACTTTTTCCCCTAGAGCCCTAAAACTTAGTCTAACATTTGCTCCTTCTCAGTCATTAGAGGCAGTTTTAGGGCAGCACTGAAAACTAGGAATTCTCATGACAAAGCCATGGTTGATGTTCCAATATCCACTTTACTGCTACCTTCTAGCCATGTGACTTTAGATTTAAGATCTCCAAGCTTCACTTCCCTCTCTGTAAAATGGGAATAGTATCATGACTTTCTTCTGTACTTTGCACAGTGCCTAGCACACATAGAATATTTGTAAGCTATAAATTTTAGTACATAGTGTTTCCAATTTGTAGCCTTTGAAGGAATATGGAGCTCACCTATTTGGAAGGTCCCCGCATAGACAGGGATTTCTACACAAACTATAAATAAGGGGATGCAGAGTACGTTTGAGAATGAAGAGAGCTCCCCATGACTGCTTGACTCAATGTAAGTGATCTCTTGCATTTTATCAGCAGTATAATTATTTGCTATTAATCCCCCAAAATCTGTATACTGGTGATAAATGTGAGGTTTAAGAGCTAAGAGGGGAACCTTTTAAATTGCTATACTGTCTGTGTTGTACTGAGAAAAGTGGCCGCATAGCAAGCTCATGACAGACCTGATGACTCACCGACTCACAGCACCTCATGGAGTGTCCTCTTGGCTGTGGCGCACTGCAGCACAGGGTCGAATTGATTTCCAGTTCTGATCAAAGTTAGAGAGTTCATTTAAATGAGAGATCCAAATAGCATTTGTGAATTCCTTTCTTTTAATTCCTAATTATAATAACAGCCTAACTCTGTGTTACACATGGAGTTGGGTAGGTTGCCTGGATCATTAATGTTCTGAGAGCATTAGGTCTTATTGGGCAGACTCAGAAAGTGATACTCTGATGGAAGCTTGAATTATGGAAATGTACATCATTTCTTTGATATTCAAATAAACTATGTAGTTTCTGCTTCATTTTAGAAAGAATCAGAGCATAGAGAATGTAGTAATTTGGGGACAGTAGAGGCACCATGAAGATTTTCTCTGGAAACTACAACTATGATGCCTGTAAATTCATATGCAGTCACCTTGGCAACCTCAGATTTCTGAGAAATATGATTTACTACAAAATTTTAGCTACTAATCACAATTCAGAAGGCCATGTTAAACTAGTAAAGTACAATGTTTATAATCAGTTTAGACCTCAGGCAGAGGTAACTGACACATTTTAAAGAGAGTCTGTCAAGGCTGTATTCTCAAAGTCCTTGAAGTTTTAGTAAATCTTTTAACAGCATGGAAGAGGAAGGGACTTCTTTGTTCACTTGCCTTTGAATATTGTGGGTTAAAATTACTCTTCTGCAGTCAGGCTCTTTGCAGTGCCCATCATGTGGCCACTAAGTGAAACAGGATGCTTCTTGTGGATGATGAAATGTTAAGAAAGCAAAGTGGGGATTAGAGGTAGGAACAAAGGAAATTACCAGTTCTAACCAGGTCAAGGGAGAGAATGAATACAATCCTAACACTTTTCACTTACACCACAGCATCTGTACCACATACTTGACTAGACCTTTACTTACATTTCCACAGTGTGTCATCATCACCATCCTATGAGGGAGACATTGTTGCCTCCTATAGAATATGAGAAACCACTCAGCCTCAACAAGGCTCACAAATTCTCCCACATGGAGGTGTATAGGGTCATCTTGAGTCTGAAGTCAATCTCTACACTACTGTCCCACAGTCCTAGCTCAGAAATTTGGAGTGGAAGACTGTAAGGTAGCATGAATTGCTAGTAAGTTAGAAGAAAGAAGGAAGAGTCTAAGGCATTTATAAAGGGGAATCTGTTGTCCTCATGAAAAGTCTGAAAGATAATATGGCCCCAGAACTGTTTTTTCAGTCTCAGTTTTGTATAATATTAATGAGACTTCAAGCTACAAAAATAATCTTACAATGTTGAGAATCATACAAAGAAGGTAAAGGGGCAGAAAGAAAGTAGTGTTGTTTTCGTTTTTTGATCCTTGGCCTTGCTTAGAACACTGTATTTAATGCCAAGTAACAGATTCTAAGAGGGATCAATTCAACAAATATTTATTAACATATTCCTATCAGCTTGTACCATTGGTGGTACATGCATGACTGTCCTACCGGGCAGCTTGTGCCACAGGTGGTACAAACAGATTGAATCACCTTTATCAGGCTTTTTGCTAATAAAATGAATAAAAATCTGCACGATGTTATGGTCATGCATGTGCTACTAGCGATTAAGCCACCTGGCACCAAGATATACAAATTATGGCCCCATCATAAATATTATACTGAACTTGATGTTCAGTATAAATCTACTGGAATTATCAGTGTTTCAGACCTTAATCTAGAAGAGGGAAATTAAAACAAGTAAATAGATGAATAATTATATTTTGTGTCTATGACATGAGGAGATATCACTGAGTAACAAAAGAGGTAGTTAGGGAAGGCCTCTAAGAAGTAACATTTATGTGAGATGTAAAGGATGAGAGGGTGCACCTACTATTTGCGTAGGGCAGAATGACCAAGATCATTCGTGTACACTCACTGCAGATCTGTTGAAGACCCTCTTCAGGCTGGATTTTTAAAAAAACTTTAGAACAACCAGGATTCTTGCTGTTATCGCTCAGGTATATTTACCTATAAAGCCTCCAGATAATAGATCAGGTTAGAGGACAATATTTCTCTCCAATATGTAAAATTACTTTTCAACAATCACAACCATGGGACATACTGGCTACGAGTCAGGAAAGCTGAATTCATTCTACAACTCTGTGGTGTCTTAGCCAGTGCTAAACCTCTGAACTCCATTGCCTCCTTGCATCAGTGGGGCTGGTAGGGAATAAGGTAAACACCAGGTGAATGGTGTAGACTACAGATGCACTAATGCTGTGTCAATCCAGATCTGCCACTGGAACTTGACACAGACTTTCATCTAAAAACCTTATGCCTCTGAGCTACCTTCAAATCAGACTCTGAGAAAGCCTAACTCGATGATAGATGAGTCACAAGGGATGCAGGAAAGTAATTCCTGAGGGAACATTACGAATTTTCATATTGAAAACTATTTGGACTACAGAGTTTAATGTGATGGTAGCTCACATCATGCTCTTAGAAATTGTCTAAAATCAAAATCTCAGCATTCCTTAAAATAGCCCATTATATTGATAAAGATCAAGTTCCTCACACAAGAAAGGCTAGTTCCTTAGCATTCATCAAATAACACAAAACATGAGAGCAATTTTTAAGCACTTTTTTTGAAATAGGAGTTAAACTTTGAGCTCTCAAATATTCAGTGAGAGCGAATGAACTGCAGAACAATGAAAAAATGTTTCAGAAATATATAGATTTTTAAAGTTGCCACAAATAATGTCATCATTTTAGAAGTACATACCTTTGGGATTCCACTGAGGCTGGGCTTACAGTGTATGCTGGAACTCCAGCTCTTCAGGAAGTGGAGGCCGGAGCAACTCCAGTTTAAGTCCAGCCAGAGTGGTTTAATGAGACCTTGTCTTAAAATAGAAAAGGTCTGGGGGTGTAGCTCAGTAGTAAAGCATTTATCTAGCATGCACAAGGTCCCAGGCTCAATCTCCAGTGTAGCAAAAAGAAAAAAAAAACACCCAACTGATCTATGAATGTGAATATACACACAGTTTTTATAGAAATGCAGTGAGTCCACGAAGTAGGCATTGCAGACCTTCATTTTGTCAAGTACAGCCATGCACTGCATGTACAAATATTAATCCCTTCCATCTATAATGCAGCTGAAAATTCCTATTGCCTGTGATGTTATAGCCCTCAGAGCTCAGTGTATGAGTCCACATTGGTGGTGATAATGGTGTAAGGAAACCTACAGCACTGTCAGTTACATAGAAGCACATATAATTATGTACTATACATAACACTTGATAGTGATAAGAAATGACTGTTGCTGGTTTACTGTAGTTTTTATTATTTTTAGAGTGTACTCTTCCTACTGATAAAAAAATTTACTATAAAACAGTATGTCTTGTTATACTGGCAGCAGGCTCAATAAATCTCACATTTACCGCCATATGAGAGACTATGCTAAAGGGCTGACTTCTACCATCATGTAACCACACTCTTTGATGTTTGCATAGCAATGAAACTACCCACCCACATGTTAATGCGTCTCTCTCATTAAGCAGTGAGTGACTGTACATGAACTTAGCGAGTGTGGTTGCTTCTTGGGTTCTTTGTCCCCCCAGAAGTGCTATCATAGCATTCTGTTCCCATCACTGGCATGTCAAGGATGCATGCAAAAGCTCAAAGATCTGCAGCACACACACATCTGCTAAGTTAGTTTATGTCAGTGTTCCTCTCTACCATCTCTATAGAGAGAGATTTAAAAATATATGGAAAGCCATGGTATTCTGACTTAATTAATTTGGGACATAACTCAAGACTCAAACCTCCCATGTGATTTCTGACCACACTGAAATTTGCCAGCCAATCTGAGAACTCCTCCTGGGCAGCTCCTCTGATAGACCAGAGCTGCTCCAACTTCATACCACTTCTCACTAGCTTTTGCTAAATTTTTCTTTCCCTTTCAATAGTAACTTGCCCTGATTATTTTTCCCCAAACTGGAAATGTACAGAGGTTGTTGATAGGAATATACTGTTTCCTAGGAAAGACTGGTGCTGATGCTCTTCTATTTCAGCTACAACATACATCGCTCCATTTTTATGATGCTCTGAAGGTCGCTTCCCAAAGTAACAAAAGCCATTGTCTCCATTTTTTGAGGATAGGAGCAAAATATGATCTAAAAGCTTGTCTAGGCTTGAAAGTGATTAATGTAGATTCTTCTGATGAAGGAAATGAAAAGGAGAAATCTGGATAAGTAATCACTGTTTCAACAAAAACAATTTCAACAAAAAATGAGCTTGAGACAGAAAGAACAAACTGATAATGCCAACAGCAAATAAATTACTCCCCAAGTTTCCAAAGCAGACCTGGTGATAGCATTTAAAGTTTTGTGGGGTTTTTGATTCATGAGACATCCAAGTATAACTGAGAAACAAAGGGACACAAATGCTGCCCCATCTTTCACAGGTACTTAAAATGGAATTGAGCCAAGAAGGAGCGGTTTCAGATATATGCAGAACAGTGCCAGGAAATGACTGGATAGAGAAAAGGCTCCTCGGAGCTTCACACATGTAAAAGATGTGACCAGTTTTCTCCTTGTCCTTCTCCCTGGGCCAAAGACAGCTGTTCTTCAAACGGAGTGTGAAACTATGGCAAAGGGCAATATGCAGAGGCTGAGCGTTTTGTAACTCTGGCCAGGATGGTGCCTTCTTTTTAGCTGTGGAAATTTTCACACTGGTAGCATGCGCTGGTGAGTGAGCTAGACAACAGCTTCCTAGAGTGCATGTTTCTAGTCTCACCAGCCAAAAAGAGTCAACTGGCACACTGTACAATTTGCTGTGCTCAGATATTTCTTTTAGGTTTTCTATATTATACCATTAACTCAGCAATACAGAAATACACTACCAATCAGAAGCATATATACCACTTCACTGTAACTCTGCATTTCCACTTGGCATTTCAAAAACACCTTCAATTCAGCTTATTTAAAACTGAATTCACAACTGGATAACCTATACTGCATTTTGCTTACACTCTAGCCTTTCTTGGTCACTGATCCCAGTATTTACCAATTAGAAATCAGCCTTGACTCATTCTACCATCAAATCCAAATCCCCATGTCCTTTCACCTGGATAATAA